AGATAGGGCGCCTGGCGCCATTCAGGAGAGAGAGCTACATTGGGTTATGCTGTTGGTGTTGCCCTGTTGGGCTTGGACATTGACTCACGATTCTTCTGTATCGTTCTCAAATGGATGGTTACTCGGTTCCATTGTACTATCTGCTCTTGCTTTGACTACTTGGACTTCAGTGTGATTATGCAATCTGGATTTCTATGCTTCGTCCATATTCATGTTCCTTGCAATTTTGTATCGGAGCTGGTTTGATTCGCCACTTACCTTGGTGCGCTGGCGTTATACAGACTCGGTGTGTTGACGATGCTTCTTCGCAGTTGGTTCTTGTGACGTCAGGCCATGATTAGGCGCACAGCCTGGGTAGAGAGGTGTGCGCCGGAAGGCTAAAGACGGCATATATTGCCGTGGTGAGAGGCGGAATGTATGATTGGTGATGAAAGCATGCTGATGTGGCATTCGGCTGAGGTGGCACTGCATTGCGTCGTGGGTGGTACCGAGGCGAAGACCGGTCATCAAATGCACACTCAGCTCAATTGGTGAGAAATCTGTGGTTGGGGGCAGCTATCTCCAGGTACGTTGTTCCCTTACCTTATCTACTCTCTCAATCTCTTCTTACCRCGAGGAAGTGAGTCCAACTTGAGAGTCCTCTCTTTTGGTGAGGTGTCGAATGCGCGCTACCTTGAGAGACGACAATCTTCCCGRAAGCATCTGAATGGAGCAAGGGCGGTGCCTCTGAAGGGCCCTGGTCRAAGCACTGGGTCACGGTCACCATGCCAACCMAATGGGAGTAGGTCACGCATGCGATGGCTGCTGTCCATTTTGGCACTTYGCTGCCCTGTAGAAGTCGTGCCGGGTGTGCCAGCCTTTTATGAGACGCTTACCAGACCGTYTATAAACATTTCTGKTTGGGGACTCGGTGTTGATACTGGYTGTGATYGTCRTCCTGTCYGCGACRTTAAATAATTCCTGAGGAGATGGGGGCTCTCCTTAAATCCCTCCTCATCAGCCAGATCAACCCGGGTAGGAAGGCTCGTTYCGTACGAGGGTAAATAAGAGTGGAMTGGCTGGCTTGCTMGGCAATGACTTGGGCACAGGGGTGGGCCGACATTGCACACGAAGACACCGCTGCTCAATGACGCTATTCGGTATGTTAGATTGAGGGGAGGGKAGGTTCTAATTGATGCTCAACTGGAAACACAACCATACCCACTAATCATACATCTGCAACATAGTCTTGTTCTATTATTGATTAGTTGGTTGACAGYTGCTAACACCTCACAKACAGATTAGAGTAGGACTGTTGTATACTACCATAGCCAGCTCTATCTAATGCTGATGTAAGTGAACTAATCAATGRTAGGATTAGATTATGTGTACAGTCTATGTGTATATTGTTTGACGATCGCTTGACCGTGGTGAATATACCTGCCAGACACATTTATTTTTAGAAAATTAGGTGCCGGTGAGACACATGCTGTGGTAGGACTCCACAAGGGGGTTGTAGTGCAGATAATGTTTGCCTAGCTGTTGAGTGGGTCACACAGCGATGAGGGTAGAGTTGACGATGAGAGACTCACGGTCGGAACTAAAGAGAGTTTCGTTCRTGTTCTAGATCCTAGGTACCGAAGTCAAGCGACGGCTTAGGGCCGGAGAAAGAGCCCGTGCAGGAGCAGCAGCCGAGAGAGCAGCAAGGGAAGTTGCACAGCTGGCAGCAGCAGCTAACGTAGCACCTAGACAGGCCGCCGGAGCTGCAATGGCTACCACAGCAGCATCCAATGCTGCCCTCTCATCTGGGACCTCGTCTGGGACACAGTTGGGAATGCTCACGTGGTCCCCGGGCACCTCTAGTACCGTAGTTTCTATTGTTTCCACCAGTCACATGGCGGGCTCGCAGTTAAGCCCGTTGACCCCACGCCAGCGGGAGGTGAGGGAACTCCAGCAAGTCGAAAGGATCCGTACACGGTTAGTGAGGGAACTTCAGGAAGCCATAGAGAGAAAGAGAGATAGGATAGTCAGGTTGGAGAGAGTAGAGGCCGAGAAAACTGCACTTGAGGCAACGGATGAGACARCGTTGTTTGACCCAATGARGGCGTTGAGGTCTAGTTTGCTCTCACTACACGCACGCGTAGTTAGCAAAGTGGACTTCATGCAAGACACCTTGGATTAGACATTGACTCAGTTGCAGCAGCTAAGCTCTAGGCTGCTCGCTGTTTATAAATCGCCACTCCCTAAGATGGCAGTTATAGGCATCTATCCCCAAGCTAGCACACAACCAAGCGGTTTGTCAGCAGCAGCAGCACAGGCTGTAGCTTCTTCTTCTTCCAGTCAGGCGGTGTCAGCTACTCAATCACCGTCACAGCAACCTGTTCCACCACAGGAACAACARCAAGTTCCTTGTTCTCAAAGACCCCGAAGAGGGCTCCCCTTCCTTACACAGGTGAAAAGAAGGAGGAGGATCTCAATCTCAGGTTGAGATCGGTCCCGATGGGGGTGAGGGCCAAGAGGACCTTGCAGGAGGAGGAAGTGATAATGGCTGCCTCTTACCTTGAAGGTAGAGCAGCAAACTGTTTTAGTGTGTTCATAGYGAAGGTCGGAGATGGACGACGCATAGGAGATKGGGGTAAGACCCTATCTTTAGAAGAGTTCATCGACAGGGTAGAAGCTCGCTGACACAATCAGTCAGGGAGTTTACGAYTACCGTTGAGAATCTCATTGTTGTCCCAGGCATTCGCTATTTCGCCCTGAGAGTATGAGAACACAGTTGGCATATCACACTTCAGTAGACAGAAGAAGAAAGGAGAGTCCACAAGAGTGGAAGAAGAAGGGTAGACTAATGATGTGGTCAATGACCTTTCTGACCTGATGGACACACCAGAGGATGACGGTGAGGACCATGCTGAGGGTAGCACCCTTGCCGCGGTATTAAAAGGCTAAGGCGGGTGGCCGAGAGAAGGGCCATCAAAAGAGTCAAGGGCAGGCCGCCTCCAATCAGTCCAAAGTTGATGATTGGGTTAAGGCTGGCTTAGATTAGTGTGGTGGGACCGCCGTTCGCATGGAGCTTGCATTAACTAGGTGAGAATGAGCACACCAAGGATTAGTGCAAGAATGTGAAGGTCACGCARAAGATACCCCTAAGGGAGGGGTGCCTTCTTCCCAGGCTTCTAGCTCGGGAAACACGTGARGTYGGTGGAAGTTTTAGCTGCTTCTACTCATGGTGAAGTGGGAATACCCTCCCCACTTCATGAGTTGGCCAAGGCTAATGACTCTTTAGTCACCCCGCAGACTCATCTGGACCAAAATGTGCTTTGCACATTAGATGTGTCTGAGGCCTTAGAGGATTCGCAGAGTGAGTGGTCAGACAGGGACCCTAGAAAATCCTGGGTGGCACAAAGTTGTGGTCCTAGAAGTGTGTGGAAGTTGGTGTAGGAGGCCGCAAATGTGGTGCCTTCATTGACATTGGCTCCACGCGGAACTACATAAGCTCTGGCTGTATGGAAAGGTTGCGCCACAGGACCAGGTACAGC